TTCAGTAAAATTTATCAGTAAAAATTCCGATAAACATACAACGATAAGTTTAAAAAGGTTGGCCTCTTTCGGAGGAAGCGAAGCGCCCATTGTCGATGCTGCAGAGAAGACAGGCCGCAAACAGATAGAGAGAAAAACAAAGATTTGATTTGTAAAAGAGAGGGTCGGTAGTTAGGGGTCGGCGGAGAGAAAGCGGAGTGCGGCGGAATTTGGGGTGGCGTTTATCTGCTGCAACCCTACTGACAGAGAAATAGAAAAGGGAGAGAACTTAACGCAAGTCAAGTGAGGTTCTGTCGTAATCGTCCCTCGCTCCCTCATGCGATTTTACTTTATTTTGGGAAATTGTATCCACTAACGGAGTAATGTTATTCATCCTCGATGGGGCTGAAGCACAGTCTGTGTGTCAGTTGTATGGCATTATATTAATTGAGTCTATCATTTAAGAGTAATGTTATTCATTCTGGATGAAAACACAGTTTAGGTGACTTTAAATAATAGATTAAATGAAATGTGAAATTAAATGACATTTAATGTCACATTAACGTCAAATAGAATGTGTTTTCATCCCCAGCGGGGATGAATAGCATTACTCATCATTTAATGTCATGTAATTGTCACATAGATTAGGCTCAACCCCAATGTTTATGAATAGCATTATTTCTTATAATGTGTACCATGAACACGATTCAACTTGAGCCATTCTCAACTTAAATCAAATTAATTTTACTTTTCGAACTATACCATCTTTTGCCGTTCAATTTGTTTCAAACAACAGTTTACTTATTGATATAAAAGTAATATTTTTCGAACAAGTTAAAACAAAAATGTTGATTTAAAAAATCTCATCGGAATACTTCAATTGAAATTTTGTAAACATAAACGTTGCAACATATTGGTATCGATACAAGTTTTAAATTATAAAAATAGAATAATACAAATTTCAGCAATACCAATTATTGAAATTAGTACAAATTATTTTTTATAGTTTATACTACTAAGTAGGATTTTATTTCTTCTATATATTAAAAGTGGCTATATAACAAAATTTTTTATTTTTAACGGAAAAACAAACGGAATTTGTTGTTTTAACGGATTATGTAACGGAATTTCTTGTTTTAAATAGGCAGTTGCGCCTTCTTTCAATATTTTTATCATAACTTTGTATTCCGATATCCTATTGAGGCGATACAAAATACGTTCGAAAACTAACTCATCTGGCTACAACTTTGATTCAGACATCATTCTCCAATTCGATCACTTTCTATGCCAAAAATAGGTCTCAATATGAGACTAAAACATCGGAACATAACTTTTCGGTTGGAAATTGATTTGTGATCATCTTTTGCCCAAATTTGATTCCATTGACATTTTCATTTATCCAATTGACTCCGAACACTCTCAAATCTTCATCGTGAGATTCGGCACAACTTTTAAGTATTTACATTTTAGTTCCTGAATTTTGGATCCCTTGCAATTTAGCAATTTCTCCAAATTTGTCAACTTTTACTTATTTTCTTCGATCTCACAAACTTACAACACAATATCAAAATCACACATCTAATTATTTATGAATTACATAAACATTACATCATTAATTATTCAATTAACCAAAAAAATTATATCTTTATTAATAACAAATTAATTCTTAAACAAAACTATTAAATATAAACTAGGCAAACGTGCATTGCACGTTGCTTATATATATATATTCACTGTTAGTTTTATTGTTTCCA